CTTGTCTTGTTACAATGTGAATACTACCACACCACAAATAATGAAACACATATTTCAGGTTTTTTCGAGATTCCACCCTTAAGAAGTTGAAGGAGCGTGACAAGGTTTGTATGAGAAAAAATATTTATGGTGATTTTTACTTGAAACTTTGTATTAATGCTCTTCAACACATTTTTTACTTGAAACTTAATAATAATGCTCTTCAATACAACGAATCGTCTACGCGAACGAAGCCGCGGGCGAAAAGCTAGTTAGATATATACGATTTGTCCCCGTTTTTAAATGCAATAGAAATACAAACACGTTTTCATTTATTTGGAGATGTACTAGTACTAGTAGTCTAGCAAGCACAAGTCTAGATTCCCGCACAAAAAAGGGTAACCCTAATTTACAGTAGATCATTTTCATAAACCTTAGGAAAATTGAAAGGAACAATGTTATTTAAATAATGTAAATATGAAATAAAATATTATGTGGAAATGTACTGGAAAAGAAATCAACAAAAGCATTCACTGCGGAATGAGGGCCATCTATGTACTTAACGTCATGATGAATTCACCAGGAACACTTGAACTGCCAGGCTTGTTATTTAAATATTTCCATCTATCAGCGGAATTATTCGTAATATTGTTTCCCATCATATAAAATAAGATTTATAACCCAGTAAGATTTCAGTTTTAATTATACATAATATTAATTACTGAAGTCATAACAGAATACTGCGGAAGGCTACTTTGAAACCACTTTTTTCTGTAATACTTATCAATTCTTTGCATTCATAAGAGTGACCCGATTTCTAGAGTAAACCATCATGTGGGATATTTAGATGTAAAATTCGCTTTTTGCTTCCCAAGCGTAAGCTAAGGAAGACTTGGTAGCGAATTCAATAGTGACTCGCTACTTTTATGATTTCTCGACGTTTTATGACCCCTAAAATACGGAAATATAGGTCTTCGTTCCCATCTGTCTGTCTGCAGCTTGTCATCTGCCGTCTATCCGCATCTGTGTCGATTTTTGTTAGACAGATAGTTTTCTAAACTACCGGATTCATTGTTGTCAAATTTTGTATGTATATTTGGAATATCGTACAGATGATAAACCGCTGACCAAAATTTGTTTGATCACACCCACCACTGATGCGATGACGTCATCTCCAAAATTTACAAAAATATTTATTCAAATTTTATAAAAATAACATACTCCTTCACTTGTAGTTTATAAATCCGTGTTGAGTTTTTACCCTAGGCATCTAGACTTTTGTAAAAAAAATCTAAATTGTATAACAACATTTTACATTTTAACTTTGAAATTGCAAAACCGTATGTTCTGAACCCTTGCAAATATTTTAAGGTTGTCGGAAACATGGTAAAATATGATAAGTCTATACAAGTGATTTATTATTCCATTCATGTTTTCTAAAATTGCTTATATAGGTGACCCAAAAAAAATTATAGATGCGTCGATTTATTTTATTGATCAAATCAGAAACTGCAAAACCGAGTGCTTTGAAATCTTGCAGACCTTTTAAAGTTATCTCAAGCATGATAAATTTGTAAATAAAATGTGTTTGTTCTTACAAAAATGTTGATGATGTCATCACAAAATTTTTTATAACGGACTCATTTGAAACATACGCGTAGGACGCTTCTTTACAATTACTTTGACATTACATACATATGTATCTATAGTTTAACTTATAGAAGTTTTCATAAAAAATATAATAAAATTCGCAAAATCAAATTTTGTAATATTTTTTATGTACTTTAAATAACCTTCGACCAATTTTTTAGGTACAAATTCATCTAATATAATACAATATACTTAGGATCAAAAAAGTTTTGCAGCGTTGTCAATGTTATTGTCATAACTTTCTAAAAGTGTCCAATGTTACAAAGTGTCTGATATTATGCTACAAGAAGGGGTGAAGCACTTAGAAAAAAGCAAAACAATATTTAATGGGGGACGATATTTATCCTCTGTAGCGAGTAAAGAAAATATTGAATAATTAAGATTCATAGTAGATAAAACTAAATCTTTAACTTCTTGTCACAATTTTTAACATTATTATATTGAATAATATTAAGAATGTTAAAAAACTAATGCAAACAGTAGGCTTTATTTGAGCAGATAACAGCATCATTAATATTAACAATAATAATAAACTGTTAATCAATAAGAAATAGTTTCAGAACCAGTAGCGGCTCGTGGTCTTTTCGTTAGGGGAGGCAACATTTGCGTTTCGTCTTTTGTTAAAAGACAAATTGTTTATCCGTTTTTATGAAAACAATACAAATAACTCTAAGTCAGTTATACAGGGTTAGTCACGAGAGAATTACTTCTGAAAATTATTTTTACGCAACCCAAAATACTAATACCCTGTACCACTTGATATTATCTAAATTTAAAATGAAATGCCTAATCCATGATTGCTTTGACTTTGGCAGTGTCACTTTGACGTTAATTAATTTTTAACATTTTTTTTCATCGTTGACTCGTCTGTAGAGCCCCATTGGATCGACGACATACAGTCAGATCAATTTGGGCTATACTGAAACCGTAAGTGCTCTACCAATGTTGTTCCCCGCTAATGTGCATGTGTTAATTCGCCATCTCTGCGTCACCTAGAGCCTCTTCGAAGTGCAAATCTGCAACCTCTGGACTTCTTCGGCCATCCATTTACAAAAAAGCCGTCGCATCCCCCCAAAATGCCCAACAGTTTCAACAGATTAGTAGTTAAATGATTTACTTACTTGTTTGAGTTTGTGTTGTAACCTTTGAATAAAATCCCGTAAAAGGAATTTTTAGAAATAATTTTCTCGTGATTAATCGGTTGCAAAAGATCAAGAGGCACACTGACAAATTTATTAGCGGCGCCGGAGGAGATTTCCGACTGGCTGCGGTACCGCCATGGACACTCGCGTAACCTCCTTTTCCACAATTGTCAAAATGAGATTGCCAAACTCAAAGCAATCATGGATTAAGCATTTCATTTTAAATTCAGTTAGTATCAAATGGTACATGGTATTCGTATTTTGGGTTGCGTAAAAATAATTTTCAGAAGTAATTCTCTCGTGACTAACCCTGTATATCTCTATATAGGTACATACACTTCTGGAATAAAAAACATTTAATTGCTTCACACAAACCAACGAGAAGGTGGATTTGCTTTATTAGCATTAAATATTAATTCATATGATCTAAGGCTGTTTTAAATACAGGGTGTTATTGAAAGGTACGTACAATAAAATTGACACTTCTTCGCAAAGTCTAAGAAGTCTGAAAAACTTATTTTGTGTTATCAAAATTGTAAGGGGAAAATTAACCCTTATCCAACCTTTTTAGACGCTACTGAGAGATAAATTAGGTAAAATTAATTTATTTTAGTAAATCCTAGCAACTGTAACAATAAAACTTTTGTCAAGACTAAATGTTGCTATAGAAACGAGAGATGATCTTTTTATCAGAGGCGTACAACGAATTTGGACAGAAATTTTAATAATTTTTATCTCTAAAAGGAGAACACTTTTACCTGAACTTTTTTTAACTTTTAGCACCCATACTTCGAGACCAATTGCCGATTTTATTTTGTACGTACCTTTCAATAACACGCTGTATATTACTCAATTAATTAATAAAGTTCTGCTCAAATCTGGATGAGAGGTTCCTAAATCTTTCGTCGTAAGAAAACCGTGCTTAAATATTTAAACTTTATAAGAAATTCTACCATGTCGTTAGAGAATTAGAGATTCTTATGTTCCTATCAGCATTGCAAAACTGACATTTCCATTGTCCTAATATTTTCAAGTTAACTTAAAAGTTTTAATACATAACCTTGGCAATGCACATACAGTCAACACCTTTTCTCGCGTCTAATTAATGCACAACTAAATGCACACTAAATGCATTCAGCATCCCTCTTCAGCATTGTGCAGTTTCACCGTGAGATTAAAAAATTCGATCTGATTGGCTTAAGGATGGCAGGCGTTGGTGCCTCCGCTGGCGCTTTGATAAAGCACTGCTGACTATTGTCTTTCTCAAAAACATATTAGCACTACTGACTAATCATGCTGAAGATATCTGTCTGTCTGAGGCATGCCTCCGTCTGAAGCTGGCCTACATGGTGATGATCAGCGCTTATTCTTATCGAAAGCGCGTACTTCAAAATATGTTACCAAGACGCGTTATAATAAATCACAGTGTGCTATTAAAAGTTATTTTATATCTTTAAAATATATTTGAAGTTGACAGATATTAAAACAAAAACTAAGTCATCAGTCGTCTGCCTCCCCTGACGAGCCACCGAAATAAATGTTTCCAAATTATCAATAGAAATATCAGGAACTATATATAAAGTACACCTAAAATCGCATTTAACACAGCAATAAAACACCTGCCTACATAATAGAACGTCAGTAGGCTGGAGGTACGAGATTATTGAACGCAAAGTTGTCTAGGGGGATCACTTTAATTGTATGTATTGCCAGAACACCACCACCTCTGGAGCTGCCCACCCGCGAAATTTGCAGAAACCAATTCATTATTAAATAGTGCTGTTAATCAATGCTTCACTTAGCAAAATGACATCAACATGAGAGTTACACAAGTTACAGAAGAAATCATCAATTTTAAAGTTAAGACCCCTAACGTTTTCATAAAAAATTGAAAATAACATAAATGCATAAAATGAAAATGATAAATAATAAGACTAATTTCAAATTTTTATTTACAAAAAGTAGGTAGGTTTTGCTTTTACCTTCTAAATCTCTCTGTCTTGTATACACTGCACAATTTTTGCGTAAATTACGTTAACCTTTTTTCATAATACCTAACTGTTAAATAGGCATAACATTATTATTTTCTATACCGTTAAGTCAGCTATAACGACCACGGCCGTTAAAACATTTAACAGGATCTGTTAAATAATATCAACAACAGGTTTAGTTACATTTTATTGAAAAGCTAAACTGACAGTATTTAAACATTAAACATTAGTTGCTTGAGCTCTTCTCGTCGATATGCCCTATATATATCCCAAACAATAATATCACCTTTTTTAATACGAACACATTATCAGGAGCTTCCAAAAAAATCAAGTTACTTGCTCTTCGTTCAAAACAGCCACCTTCTTCGGCTTGTAGTTTTTAGATTTTCTCTTTAGCAAAGTAAATAATTTTCCATATCTAAAAAGAAACACTTGAAATCATGACCGTTAATTTGTGACACTTACCCGGAAGTATCGACATTTTTATGTAGTTTTAGACATGTTTTCAACATAGACAGTTTGCTCAACAAACTATTTGGAACGAATTTAGAAGACAAATCTGACCAATATGGTAACAAAATTTCTTCCTTGCTTTTTCGCCATGAAATAAAATCTTCGTATTCTTTTTGATATCTTGAGCCAGTCTTTATTGGTACTAGAAATTGACTCGCTACCTTAGCTCCATCATGTATATCGTCGGGAGCTGCAACCTAAGTTAATCTTTCAAACAAAAACAAAACCAAGAAAAAGAAAAATTCACGAAAGCATAACCGATTAAACACTAGAGAATATGTTCAAAATTCCTGCCTTGTGCATGTGTGTTAGTTGTCATATACATTCCGCCCTCACTGCCTTTAAAATATTATCACAAAAATATATGATGCTTTTGTAATGCTAGATTCGGCATATAACTCTAATATAGTTATTGTGGGTGATTTCCATATTCCCGAGTTTTTTGCACATGCCGATGGCCTGGTAAGTGGTAAAGGTCTTGCGCTTGCTTCTCTTATGGACACTCTCAATATAAAACAATGCAATAATATTGTTAACAAAAATAATCGATCATTAGATCTGGTTCTAACTAATACATCCTGTTATGTGCTAAAATCAGGTAGAGGAAGATCCAGTACATCCTTTTTTAATTGTATCCATATTAGTCAAAACTTCGTCAGATAATTTTTTACATGCGGTTACCAATGAAACATCTTACAACTTCCACAAAGCTAATTATGTTGGTCTTTATCAGGACATTTTAAATATCGATTGGTCCTTCGATCGGAATTGCTGTGATGCGAATGCTGCTTGTCATCTGTTTTATGATGTTTTGTATGAGCTTTTTGATAAGCATGTCCCAAAATATAAAAGAAAGAAGTACGCCTACTCTATTTGGTGGTTCAAATAATTTAATAACCCCAGTAGCAAGCAATATTTTTCTAATATTTATATAAGATTGATATAATATTAAATGTTGATTAGATATTACAAATATTTATATAATATTCATTTTATATTTATAAATTTATATATGAATTTCAACATATATTACATATTTATGAAATGTCTTTTTATCAAGATACCGAACAACAAAAATGAAAAAAAAGTACCATGTTGGGACAACTTGTAGGTAATTTATGTCATAGGGTTTTTATCGGAGCAATATTAAAAATTGATTTGAAAAAATACCACCTATTGTGAAATTGACACTATTCGAAATATCGTGTTGCACACTATTAATTGCTCATTAAAAAGTAATATTTTTTTTATTTTTGCGAACAAAAAATAATAATTTTATTCATCATTTTTGTAAAACTTACTTAAATTTGCGCTTGCTCTGCTGGAACGCGTTTGCGCAATGTGCAACATATACATATTTTCTGTTGTTGGTGGTTCAAAAAGTATTTTCTGTAAGTTCATGGTGTTTGTTCTATTGTGAATTGTGATTATCGGTACTGCGATAAATTCAGAATAGTGTAGTAAATACCGTTTTGTCAAGAAAACAGTACTAATTCTACATAACCTCACTTCTACAAGCAATGCAGAAAATGCAATTTCTCAACACGTAAGTATATTTAAGAGGTTTAATATTCCTGAATATAAGCACATTATGAATGTAGAAACAAAATGATGAATGTCCGGGCGCAACCAAAAAAAAGAAGAAATCCAGTTAGAAATTGCGGGAGATACGCAGAAATTGAATGAATTGGTAAGCATTTATTATTCTTATTATTAACTCCTAGTATTTATAAACTAGTTAGTTTCAGACTGATAATAATGTTTATTTTCCAGGAAGAGAAGATGTAAAAAAACATGTAGGTACCTATGCAATTTTGAAGAAATTATTAATAATGAACCAAATTGCTTTCAAGTTTTCAGGGCAAGGAAAAAATAAGCTCTCTTTTAGTGAACTCACAATTAACAAGGCTACAATATGTAGAGTTATGTGATTTTTTAAAAATTACGAAATTTGTAAGTTAATTTAATTGTAGGTACCACACGGAAACGTCACAAAAACGCCACAACTGCTGAAATTTAAAAAATGGTAGGACCTCATTAAGCGCAGACAATAGCAAGAGTGAATTCTCATCGAAAAAAACATGAGGTATGATTTTTTTTATTTTAATTAATTATATCGCTTTTCAATGAATCGGTTATAGAGCAAATAATTATTAAATAAATATTTCTGTATAACGATTGAAATGTAGCAGAACATTGTTATTTCCATTGACAATGTATTTTTATTTCATTGTAAGTTGGCAGTGTATTTTTATGTTTAAAAAATTTATATTGTGTTTCACATCAGGTGATTTTTTAAATTTCTGCCCATGAAGCTTATGCCAGCAGTTTCAGTTTCACTGCTGACATAAGCAGTGAAACTGAAAAAAAAGCAGAAATTAAAAAAAAATCACCCGGTACAAATTTTCAACGAATTGGTTCTAGGACAAATAATTTTTAAATGTATAAATATTGCCGCAACGTTTCAAATACACTGTTATTTCCAGTGACAATGTATTTTTGTATTTAATAAATATTATATTGTATTCCATACAAGTTTTTTTTATATCCATACCCCCTTTCATATGAAGAACATTTATTAAATGTTCTGAACTAAATAAGTATTAAACATTGAAAATAAATATATATTCAATATTTAAAACCAATATTGATTTTTTAAAAAAAAATCTGTCGTTACCCATATTATTTAAATGTTAGAACTTCAATATTGATTACATATAAAATGTTACTGGGGAATATTTTTTTATGTTTTAAACAAATTTAAATATGTACTTGTCGTCTCACAAAATTTTGTGGAACGAACGTACATGAAATGTTTCTGCGAGTAATTCCTATCGCCCCGCCTTGACTAGCGTCTCGGCTCCGCAATACCACTCATACTTGCAAACATACTTACATTTTCCGGACTTGTATCCCAAATAGCTATTGCTTTTACTACGTAATTAAGGAAATAGTAAGATGTTTTTATCACCTATGAACTTAATTTAAACCAAACGGCATCGCCTCTGATCCTCTGTTGTATAAGCCAACCGATCCCGAAGTAGTACGAAAAGGATCATAAATGGCTCTTCCGTGGAGCTTTTTTGCCAGCAAATCTTTAACACTGGTGCAATGAGGCATCCCCCTGGAATTATGGAATTGAATGCAAAAAATTTTACTCGTAGGTAATATATAAAACTTTGCTATATAACATTTTTTCGAAAACCCTATTTTTGACCTTTTTTCTCCCTTCATTTTGACGAATCGTTCGATTATTACTTAAAATCATCAAGACAAATTCACTTTCGTTGACACAGTAACACCAACACATTTGTTATGATATCAGCGTAAGTCCACAGAGACAATCGTTTTGCAGACCCATATTTTACCACGTGCAAGATGCGCTACCACACCTGCATCAATACCAGCATAAGCACTCCAATTCTGCAGTTTTCCTCCGTATATAAGGAATCAAAACTAATTTATTTTCAGGTCAGAGTTTCCGACCATCAAGTTCAGAAGCCGCCGCCATGAAAATCATTTAAGTCCGTCATAATTGCGCTCTCCCAATAAGTTGTATTTCTTTAACTGAATAATGGTGAAGTATTTAGAATTAAGTGATATACATGTGAATAATCATAATCAATAATAATCAGTACTCCAATCATAAATAATAATCAGTGTCAGAATAAGAATTGTGAATAAAAATTAAAGTTCTTTTTAAAAACAAGTTTATTTAACCAAGAAATTTAACTCATTTTTGTCACTTATGTACAACACAAAAATGTTGGTTAAACGCAAATCTTAAGATCTTAAGGAAAAATGGATTGGGAGAAATGATCCGTGTTTGTAGCCCCCTCGTTCCCCTGGCTTAATTCATGTGATATAATATATAAAACACGAAACAACTAGTATACTCGCATAGTAAAGCTATGTACTTTGATTTTTTTTAGGTGTTTTACTTGTACATTACAAAGCTTGCAAGATAAGTACCTACAACAATAATTGTAAACATGCACCACTATCGTTGTGCCTTCCTTCCTTAAAACTTTATATTAGACCTATACATTAAACTTTATAGGTACTTATTTAATTTTACAGTGTAGTATTATCATCAGCAAAACGCCTGCAAAACACAATTTCCGTGCATTATACTGAACCTACAACAAATCATTTTCGATACTTTCTTTATATTTATTACACTTATATTTATTATTAACATGAGTCCCTATGCAAAAGGCGTACATAGTATTGTGTTGAACGGAAATTAAGCGAATGTACACATATAGATCATACATTTTGTAGAATGGATTTAAACAGAACCTGAAATTAGGCGAGGCTTGTTGCTGGGTGACGTTCTGCATATAAATGTACATGTTCGAAATTTTACTTCATGAAGCAACAAGCGTCATCGTACAGCCTAAAGTAAGTGCACAACGACGAGCGTCTGAAATTTCCAGCCAACCAAAAATTTTGCTCTGTGGTAGTTGATAGGTACTTACCGCTTTAGCGTAATTGCTGAAACCTGTCGAGGAGTGACGAATGTGGATAACTGCGGTCTAGATTAGATATACGTCGTCGCATTTAAAAGCAAGGTATTTTAAATAGCGCCGCCGTGTTGTATTAAGAGGGATGTCAACGCAGACAGTTTTCTAATTTGTTCTCAACGTAACACGTGGCGAAACTTTCTTTATCAACAATAAATGAATGAGTAGAAGTTCATCAGTCAATTACAACACGGTTAATAGGAGGGATTTTGAGCGGAAGTTGTCCTGTATATGTTTTTAAATGCCGTTTCGACTTCGGGTACTAGCTCCTTCATGGAATACGCTTTCCCTTCGGCCTGGTATTCAAGAGACGTGAATGACGCGTATATAACGTACCTTGCCCCGAGTAGATGTAGTTCATGAACCTTATAATTTAATGTAATCTGTGATTTGGACTCCCCATAGTCTTGGGTTTTGTTCTTATTAAATCTGCCGCGACACCATCTTAATAATTTGAAAATTAGGTACCATCCAGTTACTTTATTTAATTTAGATGCTTTGTATGTTGAAATTTGTAGTACTACTTTAACATTTGTATCGATTTGTAACATTTGATTTCCTATTTGAAAGCTGGAAAGGTTTTTACAGGTGAGAAGTATGTTCTTTCTATCTTATTCCAGCAGCCTTTCCCTTTCTAGAATAGAGGAATAAACAATACCTCCTTCATACTTTGTACTTTGATTTATGGGCCCGTTTTCCAACCTTGGGGTTCACCACTTTACATTTGAATGCACTCTGCCATTAAAAACAACACACACGCAACCATGATCACACGACGCAGGATTCCATATTGTTGACGATCACAGTTTATAGCTAAATTTTGAATTTTTCGCGGGTTTTATACGGCAAATGCAAAACTTCGCTTACGCTCGGGAAGTATTGCAACAAAGTTCATTCAGGGGCCAACTAATTTCACGTTTTCTCGACGTTTCACGACCCCAAATGTACGAAATTTCTGTCTATCACCGTATAGACTGTTGGAGTTTCTGTTAGACAGATAATCTCTGAAACTTCTGGACTGTTTGGTGCAAGATTTTGTACTTTAGAAATACGTTTCCGCCAATCTGTCGTCCATCGGTCTGTGTCGATTTTTTATTACATACAATCTCAGAACAATTGTCAAATTTTATATGTATTAGGAATATCGTCTACAAGGTAAAACACTAACCAAAATTTATGTGATCATTGTAAATGCTATTTAAATTGTGTAATATTTTACAGTTTATCTTAAAAACTAGGAAACCTAATGCTGTGAAACCTTGCAAACGTTTTAAACTTGATGAGCCCAAAATTTTGCTGGACAAATCTTTTCTAAAACGTGCAAAACATTTTAATAAGTCTGTACTTGTAGATTATCAATGCAATGCATTCATATTTTTTAGAATTGCTTATCGTTGCTCAAAAAAAAAAAACTAACAAAGCAATTTATTTTACTGATCAAATCAAGACGGTTAGCAGCATTTTTTAATTATCCATTATAAGTTCAGGTTTCGATAAAAATCTGAAACTCCCTTGCCTCTGTGATGCAAGTAAGGTTTAAATTAAATGCAAAAATAAAACATCACGTCCTCTATACCTTATTTTCATCTCAAAAGAAAATATTTGCAGCTGGTATGTACCTATTTATTTGTTTAAAAATGAAAATTAATTTTAAGGAAATCCCCAGATTATTTTTACTATCAGTATCAATATTTTAAAAATATTTAAAAGTAGTAGTATTATATATTAAAGAAAAAAAAGTAAAATTCAACAGAAAGATTTCATATTAATTACTCATGAAGACATTGCTTCATCTGATTCATTTTGATCATCAGTTTCATTCATTTTTACATTGTCTGGATCTTCTTCGCCACTGCTTTGTTCTTCCCATTCATTTTCACTACTTGAATGCTCTTCAAATTCCATTTCGTCATTATCAGAGTCACTGGACACTGCAACACAAACAATAAGATTCTGACATATGCCATCAGTAATACATACCTTTATCATTAAAAACAAGGGCGGGTTCATAATCTTGAGACTCTTGTTTAGATATATTATTTATTTGTGACACCAGCAACTCTAAACGCCCCATTAACTGATTTCTTGGTGCTTGTAAAGCCAATCCAGCTTCTATAGTTCTTAAGATGTCACCAAAAATTGTTGACAAATTTGGATTAGTCATAAGAAGGCTAGTATTAATTAATATTAAATTCTTAACCCACATCAATCCGATTCGTCGGGACAAAGTTTTACCTTGGATTAATTTTGTTAATTCTTCAAATAACGGAGGAATTACATCAATAGGTAATCTTTTAATGGTGTTTTTAATTAACTGCTCATCTTTTTTTAGCAAAACAGTTTGCAATATACTTTTATCTTTGCTATGCAAGCCTTGTATTAAGAGTTTCGCAAAGTTATTTGCTCTTGGCACTTTCTCGTTGCTATCACTTTCATTGACCATAAGGTTTTCTAACCTTTTTTCCATAGGAACTTCCTGCTGGCCATCGTTTTTCCTTTTTGTGCTGATTGTACTTGACTGAGATGACAAATAATGTACGTCATTTCCCACGACGGGGGTACGGAGTTTTGAAATTTGATTTTCCTTAGAGACATTTGGCTTTAAAACATTTTCCCTCAAAAGGCACTGGAGTTTCTTATATGCTGATACTTTCTGTAAACATTGATTTGTGTAAAAGTCATCAAAATTTCGGGAAATGTGTAAACAAACTTACCACGTCCTCAAATATCTGCGTTATTGAGGTACCATAGCAAATGCACAGAGTCTCCGCGTCTCTGTAAGTTGCAGCTGCAATGTGAATGGGACTCACCGTTCCATTTTGTTGAGAATCAGCAACAATTTGCACTGTTGTTTTAGGTTTTATCGGTTTACTACATTTTCTGCTACAAAAAATAATTTTACTGTATTATCATGGAATTTCGCGTCAAATTTCGTTAAACACAAAAAACATTGCATAATTTTCTGAAACTTTTTTTTTGTATAAAGTTAAAATTAGCCAGTCTTAATTTTGTGGGCGTGCTAAAAAACCACGAGTATTTCTTTTCAACAACCATGACCACCGTTAAAACTAAATAAGTGTCGAAGCACAAAACACCATCTCTGTTAGATTCATACCGATGTCAAACAAAAAGGTGTACCTAAATCAACAGTATCTACATATTGTCAACAACATCCGACACTTGTAAGGCGTTTTATATGTTAGTCGGTAAAGGAACCTTAAAAAATGCTAATACAACACAAACAAGGTAGTAAATACTTTGATTTATTTACGACTCATTTAAATAATTATTTCTAAATAATTCCACTTCTCGAGCCATCCACTGCAAGTTTATAGAAAAGGGACAAACCAATGACCGGAGTCGTAAGTAGACCAATCTTACACTACTAAAAGTAAAAAAATTATTTAAGATAGCCCACCCATAAACACGTGCAGCAGACGAAAAATGAATGGACGACTCCATCTTCAAAAACAGGGAGTGATACGAAGATATAAACATAAAACGTGCGCCACATTTTTTTCTTTTCTGGTATGGCTATCGTTCGTGTTTGGATTGTATTTAATCTTTAATGTGCTTTGTAGGTTTTATTTTATAAAATCAGTTCTTCCCTTTTTCTCTGTCAGGTTCTGAAGATGACGAGAAGACTAAAATTTGAGCCCTAGTGTAGGATTGTATTCTTTGTAATAAAATTTCACTCAAAATATCTACTTTCATTTTTTATACCTGCCAAAGACGTGGCATAAAAGACCGCACTTGAATTCACTTTAAAGCAGTTTTAAAAATAGAACTACACAAATAAAATAAATATCTGAGAGTAAAAAAAAAACAAATAGCACAAAGGTTGAGACTTAATTGTTAGAATACGCGGCTATACGTATTTTTTTTATACAATTATGTTTAAACAAAGTAGTGGCTAGAAATACTAAAAAACTTTTTTAATCCCATTTCTTTACTATTTTGGGTTCTATACAGTTTGATTCACTAAGTAGTTAAAGTCGATGTTTTGATGCTAATCTATCAAATAATTGCGGTTATTATTATTATTTTAGGTTTGCTAAATATATTAAATAAACGTTGAAAATTTTTGTTCGTGTTGTTTCTTGTCTGTTGAAATTACACTTACAACTAGGAAATCTGATTAGCAAAAATAATTTACAATTAAGGCTCTACCACACCTCAAGAAAATTTCTATTTTAAAAGATATGCAACTTGTAAAACACCCATGCTACCTCGTTATGACAGCTGCCACTCATCTCTAAGGGTTAAAATCGTTCACCTTCGTTTACAATAACCAGTTTTATTACTGCTATTGTCAGCGGGGGAAGTGTATCCCGGCTTGCAGGTAGAGCAGAGTAAGGGGCCAATTCCAAGTTGGTGGCGCAAGTCACTGGTGCAGCGCAACTTTATAATGCTAATTTGGGTATCAAATGCTGGTTGCTAGGGGTGACGGAATAAACAAGCGCAATTTTTCGAGATAAATTGCGCCAACTTGCACTGCCTACTAGAGGTGCCGCAACTCCATGGTGCAAATTTCAATGGAAAATTCGAAAAATTGCGCTTGTTTATTCCGTCACCCCTAGCAACCAGCATTTGATACCCAAATTAGCATTATAAAGTTGCGCTGCACCAGTGACTTGCGCCACCAACTTGGAATTGGCCCCTAAGGAACTAAAATATTTATCTACTATGAAAGAAAACAAACAATATTTCTTAGCTTACGTTCGAGAGTAAAAACGCAAAAACACGTCTACTGGTATATAAAAATTGCCATTTTGTAATATTAGTTTCAAAAGTTTTGAGCGACATTTGACAGGTGTATGACGTCATCGATAATTTTTTAAATAGCACCTCCTACTTTTATTTTAGCATAAAGTCCCTTGAAAGAGAATTTTTGATATGCGGTTTAACCTAATTTACTGTCATAAGAAATGAAAAAAGCCAAGTGTGTGTTTTAAAATAAATTAATATAATCATTGTCAGAGACTGTTGAGATCTTTACTCGCAATACACACAACAAAAAAAATGCTTGTTCATATACAGCCTGTTATTGAAAGGTACGTACAAAATAAAATCGGTAATTGGTCTCGAAGTATGGGTGCTAAAAGTTAAAAAAAAGTTCAGGTAAAAGTGTTCTCCTTTTAGAGATAAAAATTATTAAAATATATGTCCAAATTCGTTGTACGCCTCTGATAAAAAGATCATCTTTCGTTTCTATAGCAACATTTAGTCTTGACAAAAGTTTTATTGTTACAGTTGCTAGGATTTACTAAAATAAATTAATTTTACCTATTTATCCTTCAGTAGCGTCTAAAAAGGTTGGATAAGGGTTAATTTTCCCCTTATAATTTTGATAACACAAAATAAGTTTTTCCGACTTCTTAGACTTTGAGAAGAACTGTCCATTTTGTTGTACGTACCTTTCAATAACACCCTGTATATAATTCCGACCATAATTCTTACTCTTATTTTTAAATTCCTGTTTCCATAAAAATTCGTACGCATTGGGCATATTCTGTAAGTAGGTAGAAAAGTAAAATTAAATTTCCAAGAATATTTTATTGTAGGTACGAAGGTACGTTATTGTGAGTATTTCTTAGTAATCTTGGAATTTTTCAACCCAAAATCTTAGAAATTTAGGTAGGTACATACCTAGTTACCTCTCGGAATGTATTTTGAATGAAGCAAATTGGTCGAAGGTTATTTCGACAGAACTTCTCTCGCCTCTGAAATACAATAAAACAAACCCAGCTTTTTCGAAAAATTATAAAATTTGATTATGCAAATTTTATTTTTTTGTGAGAACCCGGATAAGTTAAAATTTTTTCCAAAAATTCTAGATGTCTAGGGTGAAAATTCTACACGGATTTACACACCACAAGTGCAGGAATATCTAATTTTATAAAATTTAAAAAACTTTGTATTATAAATTTTGGAGATGACGTCATCCCATTGGTGGTGAAGATGATTTGCCAAGTTTTAGCATTGTTTAAGTATATTATAGTTGGACAACCTATACGGAGAATCACTTTCCCATGTAGAAAAGAATGAACATATATTTTACATCTCACTCGCTTCACTGTGAAGTGGCGGTACCTTACGAAAGGAGGTAAAAATAGTCTGTAAGTAGGTGATGTCGATAAGGTAGTAAACGGACGTATTAGTCAGTACGTTGTACGGGGAGCAGTCACAAAATAAGCGAACGTACGTGTTGAAGACTACATATATGTAATATATTTATATGTAGTGCATACCTGTTTCATGTGTGTGGTAGCACGTATATTTGCACAAAAACAAATAAAGGTTAAGGTAACAAAAATTTAATATTATCGCAGTATATTGTCCATGAACACCACTACTTTAATTAATAAGTAACAAGTCATCTAATTTGCCTCCAGAATAACTATGGGTTATCATCAAACTATGAACACCAAATTAATTCAGTATGAACATCTTACGTATTTTTTGTATTAACAGTAGTCAAATCACTAAATACATATTATCTTTGAAACTAAAATGAATTTTATCACAAAATAGTTACCACCATTTAATTATATACGATTTAGACATCAAGAAATAAATTTAAAATCGCAAAAATTAAATGTAGCAGACTTAAAACAGTCTTAAATGCGTCTTGTATGTACGTGCTTATCAGTATGTATGCATTTGAACGCACAGCAATAATCGTTCTTGATGAGTGATGACTACTGTAACACAGTAAATTCCCGAAATCGAAAATTTAAAACATTGAAAAATTCAAATATGGGAAAATTGTAAAATCGAGAAATCGAAACATAAAAAAATCAAAAAAATAAAAATTGGAAAATCTAAAATTTAAAAATCGAGAAATTGAACAATCGGTTAATTCAAAAATCGAAACATCGAACAATTGGAAAATCGAAAAATAAAAAAAAAATTGGACAATCGAAAATTTAAATATTCCGAAAATTGAACAAATTAAAATATAGAAGAACTGAAAACTCAAAAAATCGAAAAAACTAATAATTTAAAAATTGAAAAGTAAAAATTGAGAAATCGAAAAACTGAAAAATCACAAAATTGAACGAAACATCCAAAAATTTGGAAATTAAAAAATTGAGAAACAGAAGTCAAAAAAGCAGAGTCGAAAAATCGCAAACTTAAAAAATCGAAAAATTGAAAAATCAAAAACCTGAATAATAAAAAAATTGAAGAACTGAAGAACTGAAAAATCGAGAAACCGAAAAATCTAGAAATTTAAAAATTAAAATATGGAAAAGTTGAAAAATTTAATGTATGTATAAAAAACGAAAAACTGAAAACCCAAAAATAAAAAATCGAAAAATCTAGAGGTCGAAAAATCAAAGAATCGAAGTATTGAAAAATATCAAAACTGAAAGAAATATTCAAAAATTGAGAAATCGAAAAACCAATAAAGCGAAGTCGAAAAATTGAAGAATTGAAGAACTGAAAAATCGAAACTTTGAGAAGTGGGAAAATCAAAAACAGATTAATTGAGAAATCAGAAAACTGAAAATTTAACGTCAAAATTTTTTCATTGAAAAATTTAACTACTGAAGAACTGAGAAGTCAAAAAATCGAGAAATCGAGAAATCGAAAAATCTAAGATTTAAAACATTGAACAATTAAAATATCGCAAAATTGAAGAATCGAGAAATCCAATTCAATTTAAAAAATTGAAAAATTGAAAAATCGGAACATTAAAAGATTGGAAAATCCAGAAATTGAGAAGTTCAAAAGAAAAAAATCGAGAAACCGAGAAATCCAAAAATCGAAACATCGAAAAATTCAAAAACTGAGACATCGAAAAATCGAAGGATCGAGAAATTGAGGAGTCGTAAGTCGAAAAGGAAAGTTAAAAATTGAAAAATTGATAAATTGAGAAA